CAGCGTGGAAGGGACCAGAAGCCCTGCGTCCAGCCCCAGAGGCAGCACGTACAGCCGCGTGGCTCTGGATGAGCCTTTGAACTGCTCTGGGCTGCGACTTCTCTCCTCCAGAGGAGGCCGTCTCTGCTCCAGGACTGCTGTGGATGAGGCCGTACGGATGAGGAAGAAATGCTGTCGCAGCTACAGCCTACACCTGCTGGGTGCCTACACACCTACACAGGCACAGTGTGTGCACGTACAGTGTCCGGGCTGTGTGTTCACGTACGTGCCGCAGAGGTTACATGCTGTTTATGTTCTACACACCGAACTACTAAATTTGGTGTAATCTAAACTCTATAACGCTCAGTTCTATGTAGTATATACATGGCAACGTAGTATATAATCTACATAACCTATACATCACACATAGATCCCTATGCATACACACTGTTTCTATGAACATATGTGCAGATTCCTATACGCAACAGGCAGTCAACATTTCTCTTTAAAGAGACATTCAAAACTAACCAGAAATTTGCAATATGAACCTTCAAAATGATGTGTGCCCCCTGCCCTCCTTCAATGGCACACAGTCCTTTTTCATTGAAAGCACCAGTTACCACCCATAACAGAGAAACCACCACAATGTCGGGCACGGGGACCGCTATCCACATGATGGGTAAGCCGTGTAGCAGGATATTAATGCAACTGTAAAAATTATGAATGACGATTTTAGTTCTCTTGGGAAATGCTCATGCTAAGAGTTCAGTAAAGTGCTGGGACAGAAACACACTTGTTACAAACCTCAGCTGGAGGGGTGCTGCCGTGCGCGGAGGCAGACAGAGCCCAGGCTCCCAAAGCTCGGTGAGTCCTACCCTGGAAGTACTCCAACTATGGCTCAGCTATGTTATTTGTCAAAAAGAAATGATACAGAACCAAACGCACAGTGTGATTCTGCGGGTTCCCCGAGCTAGTCTAGAGCAAGAGCTTCATACGACACCTCGCCCAAGGGAAGCGTGCAGTAAAATGACAGCACTGTGGCTGCATTATTAACTAAAATACACAGAAATGCACCTGGTTTGAAAGTAAGTATGTTGATGTTATTGGTGGTCGTCTCAGAGTGAGGGGCTTTGAAGTTTCTCCGTCTCTTCACACTCACCTGTACCTGCCGATTTTTCTACAATGAGCCCATATTACTTGCCTAGTTAGAAAAACTAGTATTACTGACTTCGGAATTTATTTTCTAGAAACCTGCATAATTGCAATTCTTTGCTAACCCTATTAGCTAACTCCAAGTAGATTCTATCAAGGTCTTGTTTAATGTCTCCCTCGCTGACATCTGCAGGTCGGCGGGACCTTGATGTCATGTGTGGATCACCCCAACATGAGAGATGGAAAGGAAACTCACATTTACTCAGGAGGAGTTTGTCGGCGGCTCAACGAGGAACCTTCCTTCATTCTTAATGCTGTCACGTTCTGCTTCCTTAGTTGTCAACTAGCCAACCACACTTGCCACATCTCTGCCATGCCCCATGACCAAAAGCAACAATAAATCAACCTATACAGAAATAAACAGAACTGCTCCCACATTTCCTCCACCGCTGTCCTTCTTAAAGTCACACTGCCAGTGTCACCTACTAGCCTCTCAGCTGACATCCCAGGACTCCTAGTCTGTCGATGTATCAGAAGGCAGTCCGTGGTTTCACTGTGAGGACTCTGAATTTGGCATTTTCATCTCAGAGTTAATCCAGAAACTTAACGTAAGCATCTTCAGGGTCTGGTTCATCACCATATAACAAAATTCTGACCCAGGATCTCAAGGCTGTGTATCTGCGTTGATGTCACCGCCCTGGCATGAATGACCACCTGCTGAGAAGACAGTATTTGTGCAAGTTACAAAGTAACTGCAAATCCATCTGGCTACACTCTGCTTCTTGGGGTTCAAAAGCACTAGCAGGAGGCTGGGAGGCTGGAGGAAGGAGGTAGGGAGGCTGGAGAAGGGAGGTGGAGGAGGGAGGCAGGGAGGCTGGAGGAGGGAGGTGGGATTGCTTCCCTCTATCTACCTGCTGTACCAGTCAGTGCCCTTCTCCTAGCAGCTGCTGACCCAGTCTCTGGCTTTCCAGAACTCCTAAAATGAGCCTCCTCACCCCCACTCAGAGATGGGGCACCCTCTTCCAAGCCTCTAGCTGTGGGTAACCCCAGTGGCCTCCCTTGGTTTCTCCTCAGTGGTTACCACTTTGAGTTAGGCTAAGTACTCTCTTTTCCAGTTCTCTAACTCTGCTTAACCAGTTCCCTATGCTAGGTATGTCCCTTTAAGTGCCTGGCGTGGTTTCCGTTTTCCTGACTGGACCCTGGCTGATACAAAACAGTGTATTTCACAATATATGGATCTTTTAAATTGTGGTAAAATATACAGAACATAAAAATGGTCATTTCAGCCATTCTAAGTGCACGATTCGGTGGCATTAAGTAGATTTCACAGTGTGTGCCACCGTCCCCACCACCCGTCTGCCCAGCCTCTTCATCCTCCTCACCTGAAATCTGCGCTCACTGGACACTGGCTCACGCCCTGCTCTGCCCAGCCCCGGCCCCCAGCGCCCTGCTTGCTGTCTCTATACACACGACTACCCCAGGTACTTCACGTGAGAGGAATTACACAGTACTTGTGCTTTGTGCCCAGCTCATTTCACTCAGCATGTTTTCAAGGTCCATCCATGTCACAGCAGATACCACAGCTCACTTCCTTTTTAAGGCTGAATAATCCATTCTATGTACAGACCGCATTTTGTCTATTCACTGCTGATGGACAACTGGGCTGCTTCCACCCTTCAGCTATTGTGAACAAGGCTGCTATAAACATGGGTATGCAAACACCTTTTGGAATCTCTCTTTCAGCTCCTTTGGGTTCATACCTAGAAGTGGAATTGCTGGAGCATATGGAAATTCTATGTTTAACTTTTTGAGGAACTATCACACTGTTTTCCACAGTACTGCGCCATTTTACCCTCCCAGCCAGCAATGCACACGGGTTCCAATTTCTCCACACCCTCACCAACCCTGATTTCCCATTTTTTGGTAATAGCCATGTTAACGGGTTGCAGTGGTATCTCACAGCGGATTTTCATTTCTCTAAGGATGAAAGATGTGTCTTTCGCTTAAAGTCTGAAAGCTGAGGGTTGCAAATGGAAATCCTTGAGCTCTTCAAATGAGAAAAGCTACCATAGGAAGACATTTTAATATATTTAATAAAATGTTTATAGCTCAATATAATTAACAACTAGAAGACTGTTGACAATCAAAATTCAAGATCTATCAAATGTGTATGCTCACTCTCTCAGAATGATTTCTTTCAAACTTTAAGTTATCACAAGAGATCCCTGGCTCGTGTCAGTGGTATAACAAAAAGAACAAACTCTTAAGTTACTTGGTAGTGAGCAATAGTTTATGACTGGACATTATCCACTCTACCCATGTATGTGTTAGTTTTACATTTGCTTTATTTTTTAATGTTATTTTATTATTTTTTTTTTAGTGGAGGTACTGGGGATTGAACCCAGGACCTTATACCTAATAAGCATGCACTCTACCACTGAACTATAACCTCCCCCTCAACGTTTGCTTTATTTTTCTTAAAACAAAAACACCACACTCATTTAATTCCCAAAGATTTTTTTTTGCATAAGACATTGCTAAATATTTAACAGTATAAATTCTAAAATATTGTGAATCAATGCAAGAAATGAATAGTAGGCATTCTTTTAAAGAAGTAAAGAAAGAAATCTAATCACTCCTCTTGTAACCTGTTACTAAAGCAAACACTCTGTAGTTAAATCTTCTTGCAAACCATCCAACATTTGTGGACTTTCTGATAACACCACTTTTATCTTTTCTTTAGTTTCTGTCTCAGGTAACCAAACATTATACCTAGAGGCTAAAAATGCCATAATTTCAACCGTTGTCATCAGCTAGAGAATCAGGAATGGGATCAATGTCTTGAGCATTAGCCAACCCAGAACAAAGCTGACCGTTTGGTCACAAAACCTCAGCAGCTGCCTTATTTATTAAGTCACACGGATGCATTTAGGCTATGAAGTTGTGATGGTTCCTGACGACATTAGGGGCTGTCTGATTTTACTTTAGAAATCTGGATTTCAGACTGTTCACTTCCACAGGAGTCAATGGGCAATTAGTTGACTGTCATCTTTTAATCAGGCTGTGAACCAAAAAGAGGAGGGGGATGTGAAAATAAAGCAGAGATTCCCACTGCAGTTACTCACTTGGTCCCTGCACTCTGCTGATGTCTGGGGGCCAGACAAGCCTCCATAAATGTCAACAGGGAAATGAAAGGGAGGAGGAAGCAGTCAGCCGCGGTCCCTGCCCTCGTAGGGTAGATCATCTAGAAATCAACCAGCAGCTGCTGAGTGGCTGGCCCGACAGGGAAACATGCAAGCTCTGATGACAGAAAGAAGTCATCAGAAGGTGTAACCACACTGCAGATCTGAGTGTCAGTGAGATCCCGGAAACGGATGAGATATGGGAGGAAAGGGAGACAGCCTGTGGTCAGTATCTATGCAGGATTCAAGTACAGCCTCACTCCAAGTGGGACAACCAGCTCTGGGTGCAAGAGAAGTAGCTGGGATCACCAACGGTGTGCTCTGGCCAAAAATGTTTAACTGGAATTTAATCAAGTCTTTAGAGCTGAATTTGGTTCATAGAAAGAGAGGGCATAAAGGAACGTGTACACAGAACCATGATGAAACCATCCGACCATCCATCTGATGGGTGATCCAACACAGCTTCTAGGAACATCAGACCACACGGAAACAATGCCACTCATCTTCCCAGCGACACCTGGACACGATGAACGTGACGAGAAGTGACACCCTGGACAGCTTCTACCGGTGGAAAAGCAGTGAGACCAGAATGTACATATGTTAAGAAACAAGCAGACTTTCCCAAAGCTCATCAGACTACAACTCAGCAACCCACAGACCCTCCTCAACGGTCCCGGCCTGACTCACCTGTCTCAAGTCCAGCGTGATGGTGACCCAGTGGTATTCTCTCCCGTTCTGAATACTGGGACTTTGCCACCAGTTATTGGTGCCATCGATGGCATTTGATATTGGATGACGTTCTGTTGAAAGAAAACAAAAACATGCACTCCTTTCAGCTTCCAGCTTGAGTTTTTTAACTTTGAAACTGTAACTGTAGTGGGAATGAACTGCGGTGGAGAACACACGTGTTCCTGGCTTCCTAACCAAAGTCTCCAGGAATCATTTCCAAAGTTGTACATTCCCACGGGTGCTGCAGAATTGGGGGTGGGGTGCCACTTGCCTTTGGGGTTGGCGCTGTGGCTGTCGCAGACTCGGCACTGGGCATTGCGCATAGCCCGCCCGGGCACGTGCTCCACCAGCTTGCAGAATGTCTCCGGCCCCTTCTCCCCGCAGGTCGCATTGGTGCTGATGAGAGCATTGCTGGCGAGGTTGAGAATGGCAGGAAACAGGCCTGAAAGTCAAAAGTCACCAGATCAACTCAGCCACTTGAAATCAAAAGGTCAGATTACTTCAGCTCACTTCAGAAGTGGACCAGAAAGAGATGACAACCTTACGGTTACCAAAGGGAAAGGTGGGGAGGGATAAATTAGGAGTTTGGGATTGCCAGATACACACTACTACATCCAAAAGGGAAACAACAAGTTTCTTTTGTATAGCACAGGGAACTATATTCAATATCTTGTAATAACCTATAATGGAAAAGAATCTAGAAAAGAATATATATTATATATACATACACATATATATATGTAACTGAATCAGTTTCCTTTTCAGCTGAAACATTGTAAATCAACTATACTTCAGTTTGAAAAAAGAAAAAGAAAGAGATGCTAAGTCTATGTGTGGAGTGAAGGAAGCCCTACAGGAAAGCAATATATAAGGCAGTTTCATTTACATGAAATTCTAGGACAAGCAAATTCATCTATGGGAGAAACTCTGAACAGTGGTTGCAGAAGGTGGGGGCTGACTGTGAAAAGATGCGAGGGAACTTGCTGGGGTTGGACTACGTTCTATATCCTGATAAAGGTTTGGATTGCACAGGTGTGAAAAATCACAAAATGCATAAGGTCGGGGTAGATCTGTGTATTCCACTGTATGTTGATTATACCTCAAAAATCAAAAAAAGAGAGTTTATAAAAATACTGATGTAAATGCTGAACAGTTTAGGAGTGAGGTGTACTTATCTTAAACTCATTTTGAAATCCATGAGAAACAAGCTGTATTGATGGGCAGAGACGGGACAGGTGAGGAAGACAGAAGAGGATGTGCTCACTGCAGGATCTAGGTGAGAGCACAGATGTTCACTGTACAGTTCTTTTTCACATTTCTGATTGTAAATTTCATGTTGGGAAAAGAGATTTTTAAGACAAGTTTCAAATGATCCAAAGCACATATTTGCCAGCGAAACACAAGCACGTTTCACTTAGGACCCCGTCCTGCGCCCGGGTGCCTCCGTTCGCACTTACTGCGTCTTTTCTAGGACTTCCCTCTCTTCACTTCCTTTACTGCCTGTTTTCTTTGCTGAGCAAAACTTTACAACGTAAAGATCCAGTTTCCAAAAGTCTCTTCAACTCAGTATTAATCTCTGCTTTTCTATAGTCTCTTTGTCTCCAGTGATTTTTATCTTTAAGCAGTTGGTCCAAACTGTTCAGAAAACAACCTTTGGATGACTGTGAGAAAAACAACCCCATTAGGTTCTATACAGATTTGACTTTATCTTGGTAAAAGAGGATAATAGCATTGAAGATTCTACAAAGTTCTGGAAAGGATGGTGTACATGATGTAAAAGGGGCATTCTGCATGAATGGACATTGTGAATTGAGGGAGTATTCAGAGGAGGGGGTCTCAGCCAAGCGCGGCTCCTCCAATTCACCAGAACTTGACTCAAAGATCACAGAAGATAAACTTTTCTTCATAAAGAATATAGCATCAGTATTATTTCTGAAATATTTCTTTTCCAGTGAAAGGTGAAAAAGCACAATATAACTTTAGTCATCTACAAGGAATTCATGACTTTAATTTTTATATTTTAGGTACTACTTAATATTTTCATTATGCATACTTTAATTATATTTTTCTATTAAAATATCTATCCAATTCTATTTTTCTATCTTTTCTATTAAATATATTTTAATACTTTATGTTATAAGGTAAAGTTGTTATTTTTGTAAGAGTTGCTGCATTTAAAAAAAACTCACCAAGCATCTGTTAAAAAAAATAACTTATTAGGTAGTCTTCCAAAGACTTTCCACATACACCAGCTACCTCTTAGTGGTTCTATCCTGGGAGAATGACTCTATTCAAATCAATACACCCTCAGCCTCTGAGTAGAAACCAGTTATTGAGCATCGTATTCTTAGAGCATTACTCCTAATTTTAAAGCATGACACAGACATACATTATGTACTGGGTTTAACATATTACCCATTCTTCATTTTTAACCTAAAGTTGGTCATTTTTATGATATTCTTTTAAAGAGATTTCTGCTTTTATTTAAGAGGTTTTATGAAGAAACAGATGCATCTTTAAGTCTGCCACCCCCCGAAATTACTCTTTTTATCAACCAGAAGTCAGACACTTACACTTTATGTCATGATCTAGTTCCTAAAGTGATGTGCAGTTCTCGAGGCGCAGGACCTGATATTCATTCTGTTTGGTACTGGGGTAAATATTAAATTCTTCCCTCCTTTATGATCATAATATTCTAGCAACCTGGTTCTAATGTACCTTATGAGCTAATAATTTAAAACCCGATGTGGTTTTAAACCGTGGTGTGATATCCAGATAGCTGAAATGGCGTTTTCCTGGCTCTGTACCATGTACATGCATTTAGAGCTGCAGTACAATCAACTTGACCCCTTGCCTCCTTGCAGACTAGCCAAGCGAGGAGAAGAAAAGGGGTCACAGGAACTAATTTAACAATGCGTTTCTCTATCAACAAATACTTTACCAGTTAACTTAAAAATGTTCCCACCGTCTCTTTTCTCTCTCCCTCCAGTTGCTGGGCATCAAGAGAACTGCCCACTTCCTGCCCAGGGCTCCCCCCACCTCGACCTGCAAGGGACTTGAGTTATGGGGGAAGTGGGGGGTCGAGGGGGCGGGGGTCAGGGGGGCATCTGCCTCTGCACTCAGGAGCCTCCGCTCTGAGTCACAGAGAAGAAAGTAGTTCAAACCTTGTGAACATCAATATAACAATAATATCTCAATTGCAGAAATCAGCACAGGCAGTTCTTACACTAGATGGGTTTTAAAGAACTTCTGTACTTCCTGATTTTGCTGGTATTCTAAAGACATTATTATATATGCAAAAATATGTATATATAAATGTGTATATTTTGTGTATATATGTATATTCTTTTTCATTATAGGCTATTACAAGGTATTGAATACAGTTCCCTGTGCTGTACAGTAGGACCTTGTTGTTTATCTATTTTATATGTAGTAGTTAGTATCCGCAAATCCCTAACTCCCAATTTATCTCTTTCTCCTTCTTTCCCCTCGGTAAACACAGGTTTCTTTTAAAAGACATTTTTAATAAAAAGAAAGATAAATTCCTTCATTAATGGTTGTATAGAAACACCTTTAACTCATTAATTTCAAAATATATCCTTCTTACCTTTCACTAAAAATCATTCTCCTCTTAGATAAGCTCATATTTGAGGGGAAAAAAAGCTGTTCACGAAAAAGTATTCCTTACCTATTACATTTGCTCTCCCTTGATAGCTTTGGGATAGTTATAATTCCTCATTGGACATGAGAACACCTGCTGGAAGATGCAAGCAAGATGGAAATGCGTACTGAAGGCAGCAAGCTTCAAAACGATTTTTTAAAAGCTCCTCAGGTTGCTGACTCATTTCAAAGATGGCTGAAACACTACAATGAGGGGAAACTAATGTGGGCTGCAAGTCTCAGGAGAAGGAGGAAATCAAAGGGTGAAAAAGGGGCATTGGGATCAAGAAGCTCCCAAGAGCAAAAATCAAAGGCAGGACGAAGACTGTAGCGGGAGGCACCCATCACTCCGCCGTGCACTTTACATATTAGACGACTATACGTTTTTGCTGAGAGACATTATTCACTTTAGTTAGTGTTCCTGGGATCCGTACTTTTGCCCCCATTCAGGACACACAATGGAATCATTTTTCCATCCCTATCTTTAACCAGTAGCTAAAGACTTCATAATGCCAAACTCCATCGAGCATGAAATAAATTCCTTCTCACTTACCAGTAGTATGTGTTTTTTTTTCCCCTTTCTTCACAGTCTGGGTCCACTTGGCCTTATAAGTGCATTTCAGGACCATTTTAATAAACTCCTGGAAGCTCCCTTATTAATATTAGCAGACAAATTGCCACGAAGCTAAGGACAGACGATGTTACTACCTATAGTTACTACTGTTTTCAGCTGAGAGACTTCCAGGTGGTTGAAGAATTCATTTTTAAAGGTTTCTGGGTTGTTTTCCCAACAAAAAATATTTTCACTATGTTACAGCTAGGAGATCTAAACTGCTGACTAGCCCCCATTGTAACAACTTTCTAATTCATATTTCTCAAATGATTTGGGACCAAGGGTTTGTGGCCTTCATCCATTTTGTGTGTCAGAGAAGCATGAGTTTTTTCTAACGAGGTTTTTTTTCTTTTTTGGAAAAAAAGCATTTCTGAGTTCTATAAACTGTTCTACTTGCCCAATCCATACTCAGAGTCACTGTGATAGTCCGAAAAGAAAATGATTTGCAATTCTAAGTGAAAGAATCTGGGAAAATACGTTCAGATCATTTTTTTTTATCCCAGTGTGAAATAAAGGATTACGGATATTTCATATGACTGAAAAGGGAAAGTGGCTTCTGGTGTCAGGGGGTTTTGTTTGGAAAAGCAGTCAAAGCAACTGATTCCATCCAGGGAGGAATTTGAAAAAAGAGGGAATTAAGTTTCTAACTTGAGAGAGTGTATTTACAATGTTGTGTTAGTTTCCAGTATACAGCAACGTGTTCAGTTATACATAATACATACATATTCTTTTTCACTATAGGTTTATTATAAGCTATTGAATATAGTTCCCTGTGTTATACAGTAGGACATTGTTATTTATCTACTTTATATATAGTAGTTTGTATCTGCTACTTAATTTAGCCCTCCCTGCAACCTTTCCCCTTTGGTGCCCATAAGTTTGTTTCCTACATCTGTGAGTCTGTTCCTGGTTATAAACAAGTTCATTTGTGTCATTTTTTTAGATTCCACATATAAGTGATATATGGTATTTATCTTTCTCTGTCTGACTTACATCACTTAGTATGATCATCTCTAGGTCCATCTGTGTTGCTGCAAATGGCATTGTTTCATTTCTTTTTATGGCTGAGTAGTATTCCATTGTATATATACACTACAACTTATTTATCCAGTCATCTGTCGATGGACAGTTAGGCTGCTTCCATGTCTTGGCTTATGTAAACAGTGCTGCTATGAACATTGAGGTGCATGTACCTTTTTAAATTAAGAGTTTTCTCTGGATACATGCCCAGGAGTGGGATTTCTGGATCATACGGTAAGTCTATTTATAGTTTTTTGAGGAGAGATTCCAAGACCCTTTTCAGCACAGTAGAAAAATATGATCCAGCAATCCAGCATTATATATATAAAATATATGATGGAATATTACTCAGCCATAAAAAAGGAATGAAATAATGCCATTTGCAGCAACATGGATGGACCTAAAGATTATCAAGTGAAGTAAGTTGGACAGAGAAAGACAAATATCATATGATGCTGCTTATATGTAGAATCTAAAAAGAAAATACACATTTTATTTACAAACCAGAAATAGACCCACAGACATAGAAAACAAACTGTATTTGCCGGGGGGAAGGAGAGGGTAGGGAGGGCTAGATTAGGAGTTTGGGATTAATAGATACACACTACTATATATAAAACAGATAAACAACAAGGACTTATTGTATAGCACAGGGAACTATATTCAATTTCCTATAATGAGCTGTAATGGAAAACAACTTGAAATATACATACATATTGCATACATATATATACACATACATATATGTATGTCTATGTATAACTGAATCCCTTTGCTTTACACCTGAAACTAACATTGTAAATCACCTACACTTCAATTTTAAAAAATGTTTTTTAAAAGGTGGGGAGGAGAGAAAGACCCCACACAAACCTGAGGGAGAAGCCAAACCCCAGCTCCTGGGGGCTTGGCATTTAACACCCTTGACTTTTTTTCTCACGTGGGAAGATGGAGAGAAGTTTATCTTAGAAAACCCAGAGAGGGCAAAAGGCCTTGGAAGGATTTTGCCAGAGTTCCATTTCCATAGCAATGGGCTCCGGGTGTCCTTGACACAGACAGAGGATTTCACTGTAAGATAAACAAGCAACACTGTCCGTAGAAAACAGCACCTTATCGGGACAGCCTCCCCCTCCCACAAAGCCCCCTCAATGCTCACATCCGATGGCACTAAACAGCACGCTTAGCTGCAGGGACAACAGCTACAATTCACTCATCATGAAGAGGTTTTTCTCTTTTGTTGCCACAAAATTTAAATTAAAGGGCAACAATGAAGAAATTCTACCTGATCGAAATCACTATTGCGCACAGGCAAGGCACAAAAGCACCCCAACACTCATAAATATTTTAAATCTCATATCACGCCCGTTGCTCTGGAAACGCACTGCCCCTCCTTCCAAGCTCTTAGAGGAGTGAACTCAGCTCAAAGGGAAATCAGAACATATGCGCAGCCTTTAAGTTGAACACTGACAGCCCTGTTGAACGAAAAAACAGTTATATTGTATTTTGTTTGTATCATTTACCGTGTTTGCAATGTCTGTATCATTGGTTTAAATCTCTAAACACATCAATTAATTCAGCATTTTCTAACCAGCCGAACACTTCCAAAAACCATCAACGTTCCTACAATCCTTCAAGGTCTTAGTTTCTTCTTCCCCCTTCTCTTACCACTTCTGGGCTCCATTACACAGATGTCATTTGTTTGTCCTTTAAAGCTCCAGCGTCCTGCTTAGGACTGTTCCCAGGGCCGCTTCATAAGTGTGTGACCCATGCTGTCGCCCTTGGTTTAAAGCTCTGTTGAAACCGTCTTGAAATTTTTCATAATTTAAACAAGGGGCCCCGCATTTTCATTCTACACTAGCTCTTAAATTTCTGTAACTGGTTCTGGATGTGCCCAGTGAAAGCTTCAGTTGAGAGCTGTCCTCAGAAGCCCGTGTGCCTCTGATCAAATCATTCAGCGTTCGAGACACGCAATGTGTCACCACCTCTAACTAGAACAATGACCGTGAGGGGGCTGGATCCACCTGACTGCAGCGCCTTTTACTCCACATCGTAGCTAGAGGGACAGCTGACAAACAGGGCGAGCAGCTGCCACCCCCTCCCCCCTCAGGCCAACACTAGACACGTGTATCTGACAACGCGAGCAAGTACTCCCATCACAAGTCCACAGGCTTGAGCTATCTTGGTACCACTGTCAACGGGATGGATAACACTGTATTTTCTGAGTCCCTAGCGCCATTGTCTTTTTCCTGAGACTGGGCGGCTTCTTTATACAGATGTGTACATTGGATGTGATAGTTTTTCTACTTTTTTCAAAAGCTGTTAGTAAATCAAGGATGTATATAAGAATTTCGGTCACTGTCTCCAGTTCCTTGCCTCACACTGGCCTTCACGGAACTCCAGCCGGCATCCTCCTCCTCTGAGCCACAGAACATGCCCTTCTCAAGGTCTCATCAACCTCCGTGTTGCCAAATCCAACAAGCAGCTTCAGCTGACTTGACCTCATGGTCGCTTTTGTAAACAGTGAGCTTTCTCTTCCTTCAGCCTCTCCTCTTTTGGCCTCCATCAGACTGCAGACGCCCAGTTTTCCCTCTGTCACAACAGTCTGCTGTCCTTACGAAACAACATAAAGTATGCTGAGCTGAGGACAGAGACTTGGGTTTCCCACCCCATGCACCTGGCACTTCCTTGTTCACTATTATTAATTCCCCTGTAGATAATGACTTGACAAGGCATCACATGAGGGGGAAGTGAAATCACTGGGTTGTGGAAGTAATGGAATCTCAACAGCAGCCAAAATAAAACCAGGGTAAGTTTTACAGGGATAGGTGCAGAACCTTCCCATGCAGCCCCAAACCACTTGCAGCCACAGCACAATCGGGGCGAAGGCGGAAAAGATGCTCTAGTTCCTTGTGAGAGGTACACACCACACAAAACAGCACTGCCAGAAAAGTTAACGTGATCTAGGGCTGAATTAATAATGCCTTACCGTTAAAGACGGAAGATGACCGTTTGCATCCACAAATTCGATCATTATAATTTAACTATGCACGAGATATTCCAAAGTCAGCCTGCACTCAACTGGGCAAAGAGAGAGTGGGAATTCCAGCAGGGCTTCTCAGGCTTCTATCAAATCACCTAGAGCTCTTGTTACAAGTACAGATTCTGATTCTACAGGGCTGGGCTGGGGCTGAGCTCCTTCATGCTTAAATATCTCCCTGGGGCAGCTGCTTTGAGGTCAAAAATTCAATTTCTCATAATAAGCCGTAATGGAAAAGAAACTGAAAAAATATATACATATATGGATGTATATGTATAACTCAATCACTTTGCTGTACACCTGAAACTAGCATTGTATATTGACTACATGTCAATAAAAAATAAGAATTAAAAAAAAATTAAATGATCTCTTGGGTTTTTTCCAGGTCTAACACTCTGGGATCTGCCAAAGCAGTGGAGCCCTGGCACAAAGTTCATCAGACTGATTAGTAAGATCACATCTCCCCCAGAGTTTTCTGTCACTATTTAACCAGAACTCCAGACTCCTCGTCCTGCAGTCACGTCTTGGAGACCTTTGGCAACTATTCTTAGAGAGAACGCAGGGCTTCAGTTAAAGCAAATGGATTAACTCATTGTCAAGAGGGAAAAAGTATCAAGGCCTCCAAAATTAAAGACACAACGTAGGAAGGAGGTTACCACGCATCAACCAGGAAACCTGTTAAAGCGAACTGGTGGGTTGCTTCCTCAGCCCGTTTCCCCCGCGTGATGCTGCCTCCGGGCTGCCTCACCCACGCTGACAAGGATGCTGTCAAAGCAGCAGCAGAACGCTTCGATGGTGCTAACACTGAAAGGAGGCTGTTTTCTTAGCGCTGCCTGGTGCTGACAGAACCAGCCCTTCCAGCCCATTCAGCCCCAGCAGTGCTGGTATCCCGACCCGCTGCCTTTCCTCAGAGGCCTGGGGAGGGCTTTGCACAGCAGGAAAGGAGGGCTGGAGGGGCAGCATCACCACAGCGGTGCCTTGAGGTCCTCCCTCCACCTCGTCTTATTCAAATAAGATTTCTAATACTATTTTTCTTTCATTTTCTAAATTCTTCCCTGTATTTTCATGATGATAATACAGTCGGAAAATTTAGTCTATTTCCACACATCAGTAACGAAGAAATCAGAACCCAGCCTGGGCCACACAAAGAAGTGACTCTCAAACATGCCACATTTACATACAGCTTCTTTAATACATTTTCTTTTAAAACAAACCCATAAAAACCAAACGGCCTGTCCTTACTGCACACCCTAGTTGGATTCACATACAGGTTTCCCACTTTGAGCAAAGTGCAAATCTTTACCGATGGACTGTGGACAGTGTGTTTTCTCAGTTTAAGTTCTAAGCTCTGCTTCCCCTCCTTGCCCCTTCCCCTCGGGCCAGCACCTCGGCACAGGCCTCCCCTTCTCTCCAGTTGATTCTCCAGTCCTCCGGCGTCCACCCTGGGGACGTTGACAAGTTTAGGATCCCAACCTGTTTACAGAAGGATGTCTGCCCTTCTTTCATCCTCTGAGACTGGGCTCCCCACCTGCCAATCCAGCACTTCTGTGAGCAGGGTGATTGTTCCCTCCTGGGGGTTGTAATTCCCAGAGAGTCGTCCTCCGCTGGAATGTGATGACAAGTGTGCAAAGTGAGGATCTAAACTCAGGCTTGACCCAAGATGAGCATCCATTAAACATAAATGGTAACTAGCACCGTATCTGCAATTAGCTTTAAGAAACTTCAGTATAAAGACTGTGACTTCGTGTGGTATCGTGTGCGTGCACATGTGTGTGTTACTGAGGTTAAACTACCCACATGCAGCTGGGATTAAAATCGGTGATGACGTGCCTTCTGGGGGGTGTCAGCTGGTTCTCCAATCAGGAAGCCTGTCCAGGCTGGAGGCACCCACAACAGTGTTCTGTTATCTGTCTCTCTCCCTTTGCAAATTATCAATGAAAATATCAGAAATGGGCTTTTAGTAAAATTAGTGGATTGTTAATGGCATGATGAACAACAGAAATAGAAACTCACTAGCGAGATGCATGGTAGTCAAGATATCGATGTAAGTGAAAATATTTTAGAGGGCACTTCTGGCCACAGCAAGTAAAGAGGTTGACAAATCCTCCTCCGAAAGAAACAGCTATGACAACGGAACAAAATTTTCAAAAACAATGATTTCGGGACTCTGAACATCAACCAACAAACAACCAGTTGGGGAGCTTTTCTTTATGAAAGGCTGCTAGGGTTTGAGGTCAGACTGTAGAAGAGAGAGCAGCTTTCTGCATGGGTCTGCTCCACACTCCCCCTTGCTCGCCAAGGCAAGGTGAGCCTGGGGGAAAAAAAGGTGGACAACAGCTGACTGGATTTGGAGTGGAGAGTGGAACACACTCCCAGTGATGTCAACGAAGTTGTAACTTAGTAGAAAACAAATGTGGAAACACGAAAAGCCCACAGCTCGACTGGCAAGGGTGGCATCCTAGCAGGGGCAGGCTACAGACAGCTGGACCAGCTGAACACCTGATGGGGGCATCCTGGACTCATGGGCATCAAGTAAGAAGGAGATCAGCTTTCCATCCCAGGCTTTTTTTTTTTCTAGAAAAAGAATAAAATACTTAAAAAGAAGCTGTGGTATATTTATAAAATAGAATACTACTCAGCCTTAAAAAAGACTAAAATAATACCATTTGAAGTAACCTGGATGTACCTGGAGATTGTCATTCTAAGTAAGCCAGAAAGAGAAAGAAAAATACCATATGATATCACTCATTTGTGAAATCTATAAAAAGAAAAAAGAAAACACTAATGAACTTATCTACAAAACAGAAACAGACTCACAGACATAGAAAACACACATACGGATACTGGGGGGAAAAGGGTGGGAAGGAATAAATTGGGAGTTCAAGATTTGCAGATACTAACTGCTATATATAAAACAGATAAACAACAAGTTTCTTCTGTATAGCACAGAGAACTATAGTCAATATCTTGTGGTAGCCTACAATGAAAAAAGAATATGAAAAGGAATCGAATATATGTATATGTATGACTGAAACATAATGCTGTACACCAGAAACTGACACATTGTAAACTGACTATATTTCAATTTAAAAAAATACCTAAGAAAAAATTTAACAAAAGAAATTCAAGAGCAATACACTCAAAATTATAAAACATTTCTGGCTGAAATTAAATAGTATCTAAATGAATGAAGATATATTTCTTATTCATAAACACAGAGACTCAATATTGTTAGACAGCACTTCCCCTCAATTGATCTGCAGATTCAATCTAATTCCTATCAAAATCCTGGCTGGTTTTTTGGTAGAAATTGGTAAGCTGATACTAACGGAAACGCAAAGGACCTAGAACTGTCAAAGCAATTTAGAAAAAGTGAACAATGTGGAATGGCCTATTTCAAAACTTATTACAAAGCTGAAGGAACCCAGGCAGTGAGGTGTTAGCGCAGCGACAGACACAAGGATCAGTGGAAGAAAAGAGAGTCCAGAAATATTAACTAGCAGATGCCTCCATACTACTTCGGCATTATTTTAATATTGAATTTGAAATTTTTTCATTTGCAGAAAACTGTCTTATGCACAAATTTTCAGGGAACATTTGATCACAGAAAACAGAGTCCATCTTAACTTAGTCAATTATAATAATTAAAATGAGACCAACAAAGTTGGAAACTACTAAAGGCATGCAAGACGTTATGGTCATATTTCTAAAGAGAATAGGCCATTCTTTCATTCAGTAATAAGTGATTTTTATCAAATAAAAATCCGTCTGTGACATAAATTCTGTATGCCTCTGTTCCACTCCTGAGAAGACCAGGCTGGCTTAGCCCCAAATGCCTGGAGGGGAACAGCTGCCCTCCCACCTAAACCAAGTCCTCCGAAGGCAGGCAGGTGGAGTCCTTCAAACAAAAACTCTGCTTTATATAAAAATGTAACTACAAGAGATAGTCAACAAATGCCAACAAGACTGAAGGCAAGGCCCAACAGGGTATTCTGGTATCACGGTCTTTAAACCAAAAGGAAACCAAATGCAGGAGACACGCGGTGTTTCATCAGACTCTTTCTGTCTATAGGGACACTATTTTACAGCATCTCCGTGGCGCAACATTGCTGGTGCAGGCACTCAGAAACTGAGCTGATGGGCACACATGGTAGGGCTCCTGGGGCACTTCTCATGCCTGCTTGATTACAGCTCCGGGGGCTCAGGACCACTGGTCACCAGCGTGCAGGACATCCTAGAAACTCAACCAATGCTTGTTGAAGATGTGAGCTAATACGTTGCTGGCCTGAGATACCTAGAAGTCAGTGGCTCCAAATCTAGAAATGAGATTTTGTTAAATATAACCTGGGTTTTAAGTCTTATCCATTATCAGTCACTATCATTTCAACTATGAGAACATAATCCTTTTTTTTTCTTTGTACTGAACTGATAGAAAAACCAACAGGTAAAGAATCCCTTCAAGCTTT